AAACGGTGGCTTCATTTGATACATGGATTTGGCATGCTTTTTTTGGTGTTCCAAAAACTCAAAATGACCTAAATGTTCTTGCCCAATCTCCAGTGTTCGACGAACTATTGCAAGGAAAAGCACCGAGATGCACATATTGGGTTAATGGCCATAAATACGATGGACCATACTACCTTGCAGACGGCATTTATCCAAGGTGGTCAACGTTTGTCAAAACAGTCCCACATCCACATAGTGAAAAAGAAGAACACTTCGCAAAATGTCAAGAGGGATGTATGAAGGATGTGGAATGTTGTTTTGGTATTCTATAAGCTCATTAGGCGATTGTCAGGACTGCTACTAGAATGTTTGATATCGAGGCTCTTCGATCCATCATGATGACGTGTATTATTCTCCACAACATGATTATGGAATATGAGTATTATTATGATGCCGTCGATGAATACGAGCCGAATACGATGAACAACTCAAGAACACGTATCTATTATGCTCATGACTGAACCGAAGATCCCGTGCAACACGAGCTGTTAGAAAGTGATGGATGTTACAATGAATTGATCGTTGAGCGGTACACTTCAGTGCAAAAGCCATACTGACACATATGCCGCCAGAATGACTTGATTGAGCACCAGTGGGGATTGCAACAACGTGAAGATAATTAAAATGAGCTTCTGGTTGAAGAATAAAGTGTGTTTTTTGAAGTTTATGTAATTTTATTTAGTGTGTTTTTTTTTAAGTTTATTTGGTGAGGTTATGTAATTTTACTGGTTTTTTTTTTTTAAATTTAGTTGGTGAATTTATGTAATCTTATTTGATGTGTTTAAATAAAGTTCAAAAAATAAATTTGAAATTACATAAAGTTTTAAAAATAAATAAGAAATTACACAATGTGACGACCTGTCCCGAATAATTATATATTTTATCCTTAATTATGGGAAATGACTATTTTGCCCTCGTTGGCCTTGTGACATGGATATACCTAGATAATTTTAAATTATTTTTTCGCGGACGTAATTAAATCATACTCGATGTCACGAGAGTGTTGACGCAATTTAGGGCTGAGTTGGGTTCATAACGAAAATGTTACGAATAAACGATTGTATAATCGAGCCAAAGGAAGTGACCAATCACCATATCTCCCATAATTTTGGACCCAATTAAGAATTTTAGGTTGTTATTGGATTAAATGAAAGGCCTAAATATTGTGGCCCAATTAGGGCTTAAGATCCCTTTTATCTATGCCCAATTCGAACCACACGCACACACTCACACACACATACATACCCTCACCCTTTATCTCGATCTTTCATTCGTCTGTACAGTCCGTACACACATACACCCAACCATCATCATCTTGCATAGATCGAACTAGTGGAGGTCACTTTCGAGTTCCTTGCAAGTTCAGGAACCTAATCATACCCTTAGTTTAGAGAAAGGACCTCGGAAAACCGAGAACTCGTGAGCTCCAACGAGGTGCTCTGCTACTTCATCGTGGTCGTGGACGTTTCATGGAGTTTCAAGGCTCAAGGGAGTCTTAAAACAACTTCACATAGATCATAGAAAAGTTTTGGAAGGTTTTGGACGTCGGGATAGGTTAGTTCCTTAACTTGCAGTTTTGACCGGAATATCGAAGGATTTTCCGACTATTTCCCAATAGTTTTAGGACTTCAAAGTCGTAAGAACATGTTCTACTCATTCAGGGCTTCAAATCCATGTAAAGTTTGTAAAATTTGGTTGAGATTTGAGTGAGATATTTAAATTTGAAAATTTTCCAGTTTCCTGCGACGCAGCGGCGATCGGTGCTGGAATTTGGCGAACCACCGGAGAAGGAAGGGGAATATTTTGTCAACTTTGACAGAATATACTGACGGTGTCAAGTAAAGTTAATGAAATATTCCCTAACGGCATTAAAGATTCCGTTCGTGTGCCAGGCACGTGCCTACGCATGGCCTATGCGTGTGGCTGTGCCTTGGCCGGTACGTAGGTCATCGAAAAATTATTCTAAAAATATGGGGATGCTCATGGTGTTGAGTAGGCCACGATGGTATATTCAAACACCCCAATTGAGTAACATATGAGAAGTTATTATATGGTTTTGATTATGTGCTTAAAAGTAACGTTAAATTAGTTGTTTCACATATAAGTGAGATTTTTCCAGAGGATGAGCGCAGTCAGGTAAGACTCAGGGGTTACGACCCAACTACATATCAGTGAGTAGGCTGTTGGTTTTCTATATATATATATATATATACACGTATTTATGATTTAGATTTTCCTAGAAATTGTTTTAAATGAAATTATGTTTTAAATGCCATGTCGATTGCATTACATTTTAGTTTATGCATTAGTATGGATATGCATATTATTGCATGGTGCTGCAGACGCACAGGTAAGCTTCAGGTGAGTACATATTGATGATAGTGATTGCAGTATGTATGATTATGTTAAGATACATTTAGTGTTCATTATCCTGCACCCCGGTGTTAGTGCTTCGCCTAAGGCCAGGGCCTAGCCTTCACGTGATCGTTCACCTCCCACACCACATGCTCACCTTGGATCCAAGGCAGGTGCCAGCCTATTCTACATACCACATTAGGTGGTTCCAACTCGTAGGTGACTTGTGATATTTCGCACAGCCTTCACGTGATCGTATCACTTAAGCGTATTTATTTACACCCAACCTGTCGTACAGACCACATTAGGTGGTTTCGACTTGTGTGCAGGATTTGATTGATGAGCTATAAACTCAGCCATACAGGTCACGTTAGGTGACTTCAGCTGGCATATTATTTTACATTGATTTATTTCACCTGGCTTACTTATTTCATTGTTGAGATACTTGACATGGCATATACTCGGTTTTCACTACTCTCGAGCATGATTTCTATATATGTATGTATTATTTTCTGGGAAATTATACGGGTTTTACAGTGAAGGGTTATATGTTTTGAAAGTGAAATGATTTTGAAAAGTTTTATTTTTGTCCACTCACATTTTCTGTTTTGCGCTCCTCCAGGTTCTAGATAGAAGTTCGTGTTGGTGACTCACGAGGACTCTGTGGCGGTTCTGACAGACATCCATCAATGTAGGGGTTTCTGTCATATCCTGTATAATTAGTATTTAGCCTATTGGACTGCACCTTGGTACCTACGCTCTGATTATGTGTATCTACACTCTTAACACTTCCACTCGTACTTATATACAGGTCTAGTATAAGTTAGTCAGTTTGGTTTTTATTTACCCACATTATCTTATCACCTTCACTTCCGTACGGCGCACATGGCTACGTCACCCTCACGTGACGCCCATCATGCCTCGATTTAGGTTGGAGTGTGTCGCACAAAGTACAAATAATAAATAAGAAATTACATATATTAATAAAAATAAAGACGAAATTACATAAAGTACTAAAAGTAAATACGAAATTATACAAAGCTTGTGGAGCTAGGATATGTGGTGCTATGATCTTCGTTGCTAGGATTTGTGTAGCTAGAACCCCCTCGACTTGTTTCCGCATCTCTTGCACGCCTCATTTGCACCAAGTCTCTTTTTTCCGAAGTCCAAAAATATTTTGAATTTGGACGCAGTCCTATTAGAGGCTTGTTCATACTGTCACGATTTGTTTGAGCCATCATTTCTCCTTTAAGCATCTCATTTTCTCGATTAAGTGCTTTTCTAATCATCTCGTTCTCTCGATTAAGTATTTCTCTTTATCTCTCAGCCGCCGCATCACGTCTCTCAGTAGCTGCTAATATTATTGCCATAGTAGCAGGTTTTTCCTCATCTCTAGTCGCTTCTCACGCCATGTTCAGTTCACCTTGACGAGCAAGTTCATCCATATATTTGGTGTAGTCATTTTTGAAAGAGCTACCTTTTTACCTTGAGGCCCGAGGGACTGACGAGTCGGTTGGGTCTCCGACACTTCTTCAGGCATCCCTTCCGCCTCTTCAAATGTGTCGTCTTCTTGTTCGGCCGTGTTTACCTATGGCGAACTGTGCCGTGCATGACAACTTCTGGACTAGTTGCCACAATTTTGTATATGGGGCAATCTTTGACAATTTGCCAACATTCCCATTTGCTGAATTATTTGTTCTGGTGCTTTGCATTGTAGAATGCTTGTGCTTGTAGTGTCTATAAATGTGGGATAAGACAATATTTTAAAATGCGGGTGTAACACAAATAAATAAATTAAAATATTGATGTGGGTGGAATGCATATAAATAAATAAAAATATTGTCACTTGATCCGCTAAACTTGTCCCACTACACAGATTACCGGAAGCATGAGAGATGGTGTTTTTCCAACAAGTAGAGGATGCGTTGAGTGTTTTTTCCAATGACCTAGATGACCTTGACTACTTCTGGCGCCTTTTCCATGTACATCGCAAAATGCTTTCGTAATTTTACTCCATATTTCTCGCTTATCGATCTCATTACCCGTAATCAGGTCATGAGTAGTGTGAACCCAGCATTCACACAAAGTAAGATTTTCGATGAGTTTCCACGTAGTCATTTTTTTCTCTAAAAAAATTATATGAAAGCTTAGGTAAAAATTGTTGAATTTTGACTGTTGGAAATCCAACGGCGTAGAAACGAACACGTGACCTCCCATCTGATCATCTCAATGCGCCTGCGCTAGTGGGCCACCCCCACTTTTTGTTGTCGGGATGCGCGGCCACACGCTTGTGAATCGCACGTGCCTGGCGCAAAAAAAAATTCAAATGCCCTCCGACGCAACGTTGGCGTCAGATGGGCCGGTCCATGGCTCTGTCGATTCTGGGCTGGCATGGAGACCAGCTTGAGCTGGGTGCCAACGTATCTGCTGGACTGGAGTGGATTGGCCGGATGCCGAGCCAATAATTTGGCTGGGTGCTTGCCTAAAGAGTCCCGAGTGGAACTGCTCTAACTATAAACCCGTTCTTGTAAATTACATCTTTGAATAGCGAGTAAAAGTTATTTTAAAAAGGGCCTTTGTACTGCTAATCGAGCCCAAGGTCATTTTGCTTTCACGGGCGGAAATAGGGTTGTCGCCCTTGCTCTACAGAAGTAGTCGATTCTCAGTTTCCTCGTATAGGGAGGGAGGGAGAAAATACCCGTAATTCGGAAAGAGAGAAAATTCGATTTCTTGTGAAACAATTTACCAGCTCTGTGATCTCCAAAGGAGGAGGAGCTTCGATGCCTTGTCGCTCTCCAGTTTAGTCTCCGCGAGACGATACCTAAATATAATCAGAGTCGATGGCTGCTCTCCCTCTAGGCAAGCTTACCATTCTCGTCGGCGCAGGTTCCTACAAATCCCTCGTTCCGCCTTTTACTCATTCAATTTTGTAGTATCTCAAACTCCATAGCAGTCTATTTTGTTATGTTCTCGAAACCCCGTTGTAATTGAGTCCCCGAACTGGTGTATTATTTTTAATTTTTGATTTTGGGCATGGTACTGGCAGAAAGCAAAGCAATCATGCCCATGCACCTGGTGCGGGTTCGGTCCCCCTCCCTCCCCCTAACATTTAACAATTCAACCCACTGCTATCGTTTGTCAAAAAGAAAAATGTTAGGGTTTTCGATGAACCCTGGTTCTATCATTTGGGAACACTGAAGGGATGCTGGGTGGTAGCTGGGAGGAAGTATGCGTTCTTTTGAATGTACTGTTAATCCGACATTGCAATTGAGAAAGGCGTCTGAGAGTGTGAAAGTGGAGCTGTATTGGTATTTGAGTATCCGGGCCATATTAGTTCTGTTGGTTTTTGCATTTGATTAAAAATATGCAGTGTTTTATGTTTATTAAGGAGCTTAAGTCGTGCTTAAACTATCCAAGACTCTGTTTTGTCATATGGGTTAGTGGTATTTTTAGGAGAATTGGACGGTATGCTGTGAAACGTGAAAGTGTAGGCTTTTGGGTATTTTAAAACTAAGTGGGAAAGGGTTCCTCTTGTGTGGTTATGTGCTTTCTTGCTTCTCGATTTTTCATGCCCGCTTGTCACCTGTCCAGTCCCATTCGAGTACTAGCTCCTGACTTCATCTAAAGGGTTCTAATCAATCTGGGTTGGTCTTCTTATTGGTAGTTTCTCGTGATTGGTGAACCAACTTATTGCAATTGTGGGGTTCGACGTAAAATTGTTAATTTATGCTGTCTTAGTTGAAGAGCATGTATTTCTAATCAATTGGTTTTTCGTATGCTTTTTAGGCATTCTCGGTTCAGTTCTTGCAAAAGAAGGACGTGTATCTGATGTTGTCTCTGGTGCTTTCAAGGTAGTTTCTCATGCTACTTCTGTTTTGTTTCTATATGTTAAAAATTGCACTTCAAATTTGCTGTTTTAAAGTCTATGTATGGGTGGCATCCAATGTATTACATATTGATCATGCTACCAGGTGGTGATGTTGCATCCAAGGACTGAGTATTTATATCAATCAGGATAAGAGGGTAGAGGTTCAATGTTCTTGAGGGCTTTTGAGAAGAGATTAGGACAATAGGGAAATCTGTGTGTCATTACAACTATAAGATTTTATCGGGATACAATATGCATATTTTGTTGGGCTTGGCTGTATTCTTTAAACTATATTTAAAAAAAAATCTTCAGTTTTAATGTATCTTGCTTTTCTTTAAATTGTATAAATTTTACTGTATATCATTACGACCACAAGATTTTATAGTATTTGTTTTTACCACAGATTGCTTGGAAACAAATTAGACGAAGTGATAATACTCCGGCGGTTAATAAACCACACAATGACTCTCTGATGGCTCAGGTTTCATATTTTCTTCTAGAGTTTTTGTTACTTATAATTGCTTTTAAAGTAGTTGGGTACTAGAACAGTTATGCCTCACGACACACATTGAGCAACGACTTTTCTTTTTCTCGGTCAGCATCTGTGTGCTTTCATTATTGGAGCTTCGTATTTTAGTGGATGGCATAATGTGATTAAATAATTAAATTTTACAGATGAACAACCTACGGAAGGAGCTGGAGATAATAGCATCAAGTCGACCACCAGTTACAATTATAACTATGAGTCGAACAGGTTTTGATTACCTTCCCTTGACTTCTGAACATGATTATTTATTGTCTGGATTAGTAAGCTCGCACACCAACAAAACCTTAATAAACTAACAAAATTACATGGTTTTTGTATCTTATTTTTTCATCCAGTTTGTAAACATCTTATGGCTCAGCTAGATGAGCATGAATATATGTTATTAATCAAGTTCAAAGTTTTCATAAAATTTATTGTTATGTGTTCTGTATATAGCTCTGTAACTATCAGTTTGTGATATTCTGTGACATGGTTTTGGTTACTGCAGGTACTAGCAAATATGGTATAATTATTGTTGTAGTAGCCGCTGGATATGGCTACTTGTGGTGGAAGGTAAGAGGTTTTATTTAGTACGATATAATAAAGAGGTTAAAGCTTCCCCCTGGGCCAACTGATCAAACTTCTTTTTCCAAATTCTACCTATCACTAAATTGTGGACGTTAATAACATTCTTGATTTGAAAATGACTATTAGTATTTATCTATGACTTCTGTGGCCAACTTGTTTAGCTTTAAAGAGAAAAATTTGTACTTGAAAATGTAGTACTGATATCTGTTTGTGAATTCTTTTACATTAGTGAAGACATCAAACTTCAGCCACTAGATACTTTGGTTCTTTTCAGTTTTGGTATCTACTACAATTGCTAAATAATAAGTACTACCAGTGAAGACATGATTCAACCCCTCTATGTTTCTCCTTGACATTTTGATATGATCTACTATAAATAACAATCCAAGTAGTGGATCAAGGTATACAACGAGCAGAAGTTATGATAAAAGGCCCGGGTCTCGGAAGAGATTTGGCATTAATAACCATCCTATTAACTTCCTTACATGCATTTGTTTGGTCCATCCAACTATGCCTGTTTGGGATGCTATAATTCTTTTTCATCTAGTAGGATCCATTAATCAAAATGGTTACTGAAACAAACACTTTGCTTACTTGATATTAGCTTTGCTAAGGATTGCTTGCCTTTGTCTAGTGGGACGTTGTATCTAAACTTGATGATAATCTTCTAGTGTTCGTGTCATAGCATACAAAATCTAAAGTAGATGAATCATTTAACAATTTAGAATTGAATTTTGAGTATGCTCTCAAGGACTCTGTGTTTGTAGGGTGTTTATTGCGTAAAAATCATAATTTTTTAAAAGGTTGTAATTATGATAGGTATCGTTCCAAAATCTCAACCTGTTTGGTTTGATAAACAAATTATTTTTGAAAAAAATTAACTAGGGGATCAAACTTTGTTTTCTTCTGTTCTCTCTTGTCAAAGTTGTTTATTATATATGTGCATTTCTTGTATGTTTGCAGGGGTGGAAGCTTCCTGACATGATGTTTGCAACAAGACGTAGCTTGTCTGATGCTTCCAATTCTGTAGCTAAACAGCTTGAGAGTCTGTTTACATCAATTTCGGCAAGTCTTCTCTCTCTCTCTTTTGCTATTGATTTTCTGATGTTACTTTTTCTATTACCAAGTGAAATATTGTGTCTTGTATCCATGGTGGAATGTGTCTTGTATCAATGGTGGAATTGACATGGTGCACTATGTAATAAGTTGGTTGTTACGTTGTTTCATGTTATGTTAAGTGCTTTCTCAAGAATGAGAGGAGCTTTTGTTTTTCTGTCTTCACTGATGCCATTCAATTAGGGTTTAACATTGACTATATGTCTACGCCATGAATATTCTGTTGCAAGTCAAGTGTTTGTCTCTTCCAAATGTTGTCGGTAAAATTTTATATGGACCCAACCATTTGCTCACTAGACCCATCTATTATTTATTTATATATTTTTCATAAGTTTCAATTCCCTAAACAAAATAAATAAAACTAAAAATGAGCCACCCCCTACCTAGCTGGCAAACTCTCTGCGATGGTGGACCAGGTGCAGAAATTTTCTCTGTGAGGTCGCAGCCCTCCATTCCATTCAGATTTTTGATAGTGTAGAGAGCGAAAGCAAGAGATGAGAGCAGGGGCTGATGGTTGTAAGACTTAACGAAGTTGACGTTGTCGTTCCGGTTGGGCATGGCGGATGGTTGTTGGGTTTCTTTAATTTTTCATTATTTTATAAATTTTATTGAAGGGCAAATGTTGGAATTTAGAAATTACCAACATTTGGTTGGGTTTTATGAGCAAATTATTAAGTCCACATATAACCATCCATGTTATGAGGTACTTGATTTATTTCCAAAAGGCCTTGGTTGTGGTTGAAACTTTTGTGATTTAGACGAACTTTTGTGATTAGATGATTTCATCTATTTCTGGTGGTTTCATGAAAGTCTGCATAATTCACAAGAAAATTTTATGAACCTGTTATGTTTGTCATGCTTTTGGATTGATTTTTCTTTTAATATGTTTTTAATTAGAAATGACAAATAAAAGTCTCTAACTTTGTAGATATTTTGTTTGATTTTCAGACCACTCAGAGGAAATTGTCTTCCCAACTTGATAATGTGGAATGTAGTTTGGATGAAAGTATAGAAAATACGGCTAGGACACAACAGGAGGTGGGTATATTAGATATTAATGAGTAGTTTTGTTTGTATTTCTGTGATTCAAGTTCATTAACAAGAAACCTTCTATGCCATTTATAGGTTGTTCAACTACAAGGAAGGACGGATACCATTAGCAGAGATTTTAAAAAAGTTCACCATGCAGTGCTGACTCTGGTGACTCATTGTTTTATTATTTCTTTTCATCTCTCGCAAAGTATATTCATGGATGGAAAATGGAAAATCATATCCCTTATTTTTCTTTGGTCTCAGGAAACAAAAATTAATAGAATTGAAGGGAAGCAGGTATATAGTAGTTAACTCTTTTGATTTATGAGTTGTTATTCTCTACCCTTGAATACTGTTTTGTACTGACAGCCTGGCCTTTGACTTCTAATTAGGGTGAAATTGCCGGTGGAGTATGGAAGTTATGTGACTATGCCCTGAACATGGAAAAGGGCATAAACGCTGAACGCATTCAGGCATGTACTGATTATTTCCTGCATAACTGGAAGATTGATATTTACGTCTGATTCTGTAGTCATCTTACGTTACTTTTCCGTTGTACTGCTTTATGTAACATTAATTTTTTCGTTTTTTCAGAGTTTATTACTTTTATGGTTTTGTAACTTTATTTTATCAGAATGAGCCTCAATTGATATTGTTCATTTGGCATTTTATTGACACTGATTTCCACAATATTCAGGCATCACCATCCAGTTTTCCAGGCCAGTTCTTGAACTACCACCAGCCTCCCCCTCATCTTTGGTGACACCACCGAAGGCCTCGAGGCCAGCGCTTGAGCTACCCTCAGCATCACCCTCAAGGGTAAGATTGATGTTCAAAGTGTGTATAGTGGTTCGATATGCTATCTTATTAAGATAATATATTGAATTGGTTGGAGGCTTAACACCTCTATTCTTAAACCAACTCTACAAGTTTTTAAATTTTCACTTACTTGACTTTGTCTCATTTTCGGTTGAGGTATTTATAGTCCTATCCATCTCCCGTCGTTTCAGGGGAATAGTGGAATCTTGGAAGTGGTTGAGTCCTCAAATCGTGGCGAGGCTTCCAATGAGCTTCGTGCTCCAGAAGGCACAAACAATGCGTCTTCCAGTTCTGGTTGGTTCGGGTTTGGGTTTCCAACTTTGAATAGTTCGGCACTCCTGAGGACGCGAAGTGCTACAACCGGAATGGTTCAACGGAAACGATGAACTGGTCAACCGTTATGAGGATCTTTGTATAGATCTGTTAAAGTCATTTAGAGTATATTCATATGATAAATCATCATTTGTACTCTCTCTGAGGTGAAAGCCTTGAGCTTTTAGACTGTTTAGTTTCGAGAGCCAAAACCTCAAATATAGCTAACGCCTCGTCCCATTCAAATTCATTGTAACGGGACGGGATGCTGAGAATTTTGTAGCGCATTCGCAGTCACGACGTAATATTGGTATTTCAGATGGTGACATTTTTCAGAATTTGTATTTGTGTATATGAATGATGCCCGTTGTCGCAGAAGAGGTTTAAGTTCGTTCTTTCGGCCAATAATGGCATCAAAGGTGGGAAATTCTTAGGTGTGACGCTGTGTATATTCTCCTCTAATAACAATCTAGTTACGTTACGTGACTTTGATGTGGTGATTAATTGAGTGGCGTAAGCATCCAATGACACCTAAGAATTTATTATCGGCAGTTACTCCATGAGAAATGCGAGCAATCTTTGCATTTGGACTCTCACGTTTGCACATGGTAAGTGTAGTTTTTACACAAAAAATAAGACCTTTAATGTCTTTGATACTATGTTTTCTAGTTTTCATCATTAATTCTTAGCTAAAAGCATTAAAGGCTGTGTTTTTTATGTAAAAAAATGCATCATTTGAGGAAGCGAAAATGTTCAAATGTAAAAATGATTAACGCTTCTCTTAGTCCATATTGCAATACGGTTTTTGATAATTACGAATTGTAAAGTGAACACAAAATAAAAAATTAAATTCATTTGGATACATTCTAAATAAGTAAACATGTCGTAATTAAATTTATTTAAACGTTCATTTGAATACATTCCAAATAAGTAAACATAGTATGAAACCCTAAATCCAGCTTCAGCACGACCTTTTTGAGCCTGTAATGTAAAGAGAGCTGCTTCCCGCCATTTTTCATTGCTCGGCTTCTTTGGCGCGCAGGTATAAAATATAAAGAATTCACACTGCAGTAGTGGCCCACCGGAGAGAGAGGAGCAAGATTGCAAGCCGTTCGATCTCAGAGGAAATCTTTCATCTCCCGACCCTCCCTCTTTACCGCTCCGCTCCCGCCCTCGAAGTTCGTCTCGAAGAGTTCGAGCTCTTCGCCCTCGATCGCCTCCGAGGTAATTTTGTTACCTTCTCCGGAATCCTTGTAATTTCTCTTTCGCTGCTGATTTTTTTCTGTCGAAACTTCGGGACTTATCTTTTAATTTTGGTTTTTGTTTGGTTGCTGAGAAAATTTTGGAAAAGGGAAACACTTTTTTCTGGTGCTAAGTTAAACCGTTCACCGTTTAGGGCGTGAAATTAACCGAAAAGGAAGAGCCAATAAACTTGGGGATGAGAATGATTGAGATTCATAGCGGTATACGATCTTGTATTTTTTGGATTAGTTTGTAAGTTTCTTATTAAGGTGGAAAATGCTGAAAAAAATTGATTAATTTTATGCTAGAGTGACTGTTTGGGAGCTGGGAAAATAGAATTGCTTTCGGAGTTGATTTTAGTATAGCTCCATGGCTTATTTCGGTTGGTCTGGTTTTCCCTTTTCTTCTGGATTTCGGAATCAAACAAAATTTGTGAAATTTGATTCGTGGCATTTTAATGGAGAAGGTTAAGTAAGTTCTTCGACGGAATATGAGTTTAGCGTTTTCCCTGCATATATCTCGAGAGTTGCAGTGATTGACGGAAATTACTGCTGTATGCAGTGGTTACAGGGATTTCTGATGGATTATCACGCGGAAAGAAACCTGACGAAATGCAGAAGTTGGTAAAACCATAGTTCCAGGTTGAAATTCTTTTCATTTCCCTTGTTGCACCCCTTTAATTAACATTTAGGCATTTTACAGGCAATAGAACTATGGAAGACAAATATGAGGCATCCTCAGGCATCTGAGGTCGTCAACAAGGACATAATATCGCACTTTGTTCTGCGACTAGTTTATTGCAGAACGTAAGAACTTCTAACATTTTATTCTCTAAAAAGATTTCTTCATTGTATTTTATTTTATGTTGTTACTTTTTAATCTGCATTTAGGGAGGACCTGAGAAAATGGTTTCTTTCCATGGAGACTGCCTTATTTCGTTACCGATTTATGAATGAACAACCTGAACCGCAGGTAATCTACATTTTACTTGGCTCATTCTGTTAGTCAGTTTCTGATCAATATTCTGCTTTTGGTATTCAGCGGGCACTCATGGAAGAATTTGATCTTCCATACAAGGCAGTCAGTGGTTCAGAACTTGAGGTAATTATGTGCTCAATATAGAAAATGTGCATTTGAAACTAAGATCATTTCGGCATTTTTATGTCAGTTTCATACTTTCTAAACCCTTTAAATCCTTGGTATATACTGCAATCACCGTATAAGTTTGTCTTTCCTTGCAGAGTGTATTAGATAAATTGGTCCTGGTTTCACGTTCGCTCGGTGCTCAATCTCCACCAACTGGTAGGGGTGCATATTTTATAACACTTTGTAATGCCTGAGTCAATAAATTGTGCATTATCCTACAACCCGCATCACTCTCTGGTTTCTGTCCTGTCTTATGTGGGTATATTAGCATTTCAATTAGGCGATCAGAGTCTAGATGTATGTAATGGGAAACTCCATGGTAACATGTTATTTGATTACACCTGCTGTTGCATGTGTATTTGATACATAGACACTAGATACTAGTCAGTGACGTTTACCACTTATTGGGTTTAGTTGGTGCTTTTATATGCCTATATGCAAGTTAGCTAGAGTTTTCAAAATTATTTGAAGTCATACAGCCTTGTTGTGCTGAAGAAGTTGCAGAATTGCAAATGATGATTTTGGAGAATGCAGAATGGCATATATATTATGTAATTTATAGTTTTTTGTGGCGTATTTTGGTGCATGAAAATTGTCAGCTGATGTTTATACGCACAACCTTGCTATGAGCCTATGACAAACTATAAAAGTTATCAAAAGAATCATGAATCTATCTTTCTCGGGCTCTTCCTTCCCTATTGCTAAGTTTTCCGATTAAACTCTGTGTAGGGTGTTGGGTTGAAGCTGGATGATGCCCTTGGGTTTTGGAAAGCTGAGTTCTCGCAAAAAGTGAGTATGGAGTTTCTTAAGTATTTCATCTACTCATTCTTAATAATCACACCAGACACAAGATTTTCTTTCAACATTTATTGTCCATGTATGGTGAAAAAATTTGTTTTAAATTTGTAATTCCAAAATCATAGTGCATTGTATTATAAAGATGTTTTCCTGTTCCGTGCCTGGTCCTTGTGACTTGCTTGGAATTTAATTCCAAGCTTTGTGTTTGATCTTTGCCATAGGTTGGTGCTGAAAGGTTTGACAAAGAGTATTCGTATGGCATACGCCACAATTATGGAAGAGAGGGGAAAAGAACGGTAAGACATCAAACTTAAGATTCAAGAGTATAAAGATGATATAGTCTTGATTCTACTCAAATAGTAAGAATTGAGTGATGTTATGTCTAGACTCATATCACGGGATCAAAACTGAAATCATGGGAAATATTCAAGAAAAATTGAAACCTCTACATAGTTTATTGCTTGTTGCTGTTGGATGTTAATCTTAGATGTATAACATTTTTGTTGAAAATACTATTAGAAACCTGGAAGTACTTGTGAAGAAATATTTGATATATATCATGCTGTGTAGTATGATGACGATAAAATATGTTTGCCTTTTGACATTGCAGGATTACACACCTTAATCCTGTCAAAAAATCATCTCATCTACTCCCGGTGTAGGAGATCATCATGGATGCCCGTATCAATATTTCAGGTAATTTCGACAATAAAAAATTTCATTATTCATCTGGATGATGTTTAACTTGGCCTTTCCAACGTTACTGGCTGAATTATATTGGATAGAAGTACCATAGCACGAAAACTAAATATATCAGTGCCTTATTTTAGTAATGCAATGGATTTCAGATAAAGTAGTCATACATACATGGCTGATCAACCATATCCTTCTATTCGCCATATTTATCTGCGACAGTGAAGAGAACTCGAGAGCCGCTATTGGTAAAATGGGAGTTACCGGGCGAGCAGTTGGAGATGTAATGGACAAAGTTAAAAACAGGCATTATCAGGTGGAAATGTTACTAATCTGCATCAAAATTATTCCAAGTTGTTTTTGTTCTGACACAAGATTAATGTGGAATACTTGGTAACGTATGCATCAGCTGGCGTGCACCTTTGACGTTTGAAGCTATTCATGGTTCATCATGCGACGCTGGGATTAACCATCCAAATCAGTACTTTAACGAAAGCCAAGTTATCATAAAATCGAAGGTAAATTAAGCTTTTATTCACAGTTTCCTACCAGACACCAAAAATTGAGCAAAACTTGTTTTTAGTTGTGTTGTGAGAGTTTGCCTAGGCTTCCCAAAAAGGCTCAAGTTGTGTACTACACGCTTATCCGAACTTTCCCTTTGTAGAACCGGTCTGCAGCGGAAGGGAGAGCCTTTTGAGCATCCGAAGAGACGGATATATTAGCATATTCTCATTCCACAGGTATCTCTCTAAAAATAGGCTATGTACAATGCAAATAATACAGCATCCAGCCAAATTGGACCCCTTTTATTTCTAGCCACCGAATTAAATAAATCAAAACACGAGCAATGAACAAGGTTAAACAGAATAGTGTAGGACGAGAAAGAAAGGGTGGTGGTTATCATGTCTCTTTTTATACCGAGATCTTTTTATAAACTCAAAGAAAGCGTCCCAAAGTGCTTTTGATCTGCCCCAAAGTAGGAAGGGCAAATAGTTCGGCTTCCTGGTTTAAATTTAAAAACATATGATAAGCATTAAAGAATGCTGCATGGGGGGACCGATTAAAGAGGAATCTTGAAAAGGGGGGATTACTAATATTAGCAAAGTGTTGTTCTGCAACATGGGGTCCACCACTTGCATTGCTCCATCTCATCTCTCCCCCTGCCTTTTTCTTATCTTTTTTTGGCAGCTGAGCTCGAATTTGTTCTGGTCGGGCTGAAGAACTAATCACGACGAAGCTCATGATATAACATATTGTTGCCATAAATAGTGTTCGGAAAGTATGTGGCCGACACTTTGAGCGTCGAGAGAAGAAAAACGTTGCGAAGGAGCGGGGACCATTTCTTTTTGGCGGGTGGTGCTCGCGCGTGCCAAGATTTTAATTTATTTTAATTTAATTTTTACCAAAAGGGTCGTTGACACGTGGTCTCCAAATCCGAAAGGTCTTCGGGGCGTATACTTCAATTTGCGGATAGTTTGAATACTTTCTTTTTGTGACCAAGTGGCAGTGGGGGACTGCGCAAAGTAGCTTTGCTAATCATAATTAGGTTGGATTTGTTAAGTTGAAGCAGATTAGCCTCTTTAAGAGGTGATTAATTACCAAGATCAGCAAAACTGATTAATATTTTAAGGAATCATTACAATTTTAGTACTCAAGCAAAGGTCGGTATCCATTGCCCATCCCTCTCACAATGTGGGTCCCCCCCTTTGGCTCCACCTAAGCTATCATTACAATTTTAGTACTCAAGCAAAGGTCTGTTAGTTATTGATAATGGGTTAATATCATTGCAATTGACGAAAAGCATCGACATGTCAAAGAAGCGCAAAAAAATTTCTACTTATGCAAAATATAAATATGATAGATTCCATGAAGTTGATTAACTTCCTCTTCCATACCTAATCCAATGGCTAATCCGTCACAATATCAGTTTTTACTTTTGTGCAGAATATCAGTTGACTTCAAATCCTGAAGTATGTGGTCAAAATTCAACAGATAAGAATCAAAGAAGTAGCGATTGAATTTTATAATAGGAGACAACTATCTAATTAAAACAGCTCCCATGATTAATGAAAGTAGCATAAAGTAAAATGAGATCAAAATACACAAAGTTTCATATGAGTTTCTTCACTTGTAAAGTAGTCGGAGTGTCCTGCACAAGTTTTTGTCCCATGAACATAAAACGTGAATTATGGAACACAAGAAACTCTCTCAACTCTTTTTATTTAATTCCATTTGGCCTTTCCCCTAAAGTTGAAAGCAACTACACTCTGTCCCTTTCCCCTCCACTCGTTTTTCCTCTTTTATTTTGCTTTTATTAATGTTCAGTCTTTATTAATGGTGTGCATCTCTCTCTCTTTTTGGCTAAAATGGCTGCAAATCCAAAGGGTCAGAGGGGAAGACTTGCAGCTCACTCTTTACTCAGCTTCTTGCTCTCTGCCCTCCCTAGCTAGGAAGAGTTAGCAGCTACTGCTCTAAACCAAGCATCTTATTCTCTATCTTTTTCTTGTTTTTCTTATCTTTTCAGGATTTCTGTGTGTAATTGGAGAGCTTGAAGGTTATCAAATTAAACCACCCAGAGTCTGAGGTACCTATCAATCATTATATCCTTTTTGGTTTTGCTTTTCCTCACCATATTTGGGAGACAAGTTCAAAATTCTCTACTGTTTATTGCATTTGAAATGATAGCAAAAGTGGACTGAAACAGTCAAAACTCTTGTGTTCTTGTAACTACTAGAATGACTTTTAATTCAATCAGGAAGGCGAAAATTTGCTGGTTGACCAATTTTTAGGAAAAGAATTTGAAGAAATTATGGATGAATAATTCAAGATTGTTTGTTAATAGTCCCTATATTTGTTTAGATGTAGGTTACGTCAGTTAATCAGGGCAACGTGTCCGTCCCATGCACACGAGCCGGAATCCCCCCTCCCCACTAACCCACCCTCCTACTCATCAGTTACGGTGTTCAACTGACTTGCACCAATAGACCACTATTGTATTGGAATTAGGCGCCCATCTTTTTACTGTTGTCAACTAATCTCTTCGATATATGATTTAACTCTACTATGTTCTGTGCTAGGAAGCGTTACTCCTCCTCTTTTCATTCCAAAATTTAGGAACAAGGCCGATACGATTAATTGGTCTGTGTGCCTCTGTCATTACTTTTTTGTATCCCTGTTCCTCAGATACAATTTGATCCTTCTACGGCCAAATCTCAATTTTTGGAAAGCCTTCAATGCTTCCTTATGAAAACATCAAATTTTTTTTGGTTGTAAACGATATTTCTTTATTCTTTATGCTATTGACCACATTTCTGATCCTTATTTGCATTTCTTCTGGTATGAGAAGTTATGGAATGCATGTGCAGGCTGATTGTTCTTCTTATGTTACTTGGAGGGAATATGTTTCATCTGGTTTTAAGTAGATAAGATTTCAGAAAAGAGAATTACATAAATAAATAATTTCATGCAAATCTTTTTCTGTTATTCTTTCTTCTAACCTACATCATTATTTGGTTATTGAGGACGACTCGGAAACTGGTTTCCCTGAAGAAAAGGCGTGTTAAACAGTGCTCCAATTTCTAGTTCTGCATAAAAATAAGGGATATTACTTGATAAAGTTCAAAACTTTGAGCTCAGTTGATTATCGATATGGAAGATGGATCAAAGGGCAAGTTGAAGGATCCTGGGATCTCTATGAGGAAGCCATCTTCGAGTACTACATCTTTGAAAAGACCACGACAACCCAATAACGAAACCAAGATTGCTGCATGCTTGGTTGATGGGTGCAATTCGGACCTTAGCAAATGCCGGGATTATCATCGACGGCATAAGGTATGTGAGCTCCATTCAAAGACCTCAAAAGTTACAATCAAGGGCCAGGAACGGCGGTTCTGTCAGCAGTGCAGCAGGTAACTGGGATGGAATGGCTCTAGGAATTTCTACGTTATAAATGCATGCTGTGATGAAAATGTGATTAGTCTTACAAACAAACAAGTAACATTTCTTTGTGACATGACAAAGGTTCCATTCGTTGGTGGAATTCGATGAAGGAAAAAGAAGCTGCAGAAGACGTCTTGATGGACACAACAAACGTAGGAGGAAGCCTCAGTCAGAATCCATGCCCACAAATTTGGGAAGATTTCTTTCCAATTACCAAGGTTTGGAATTTTTTTCCTGATAAAATGTATATGTACTAATGTTTTCATTGGCATAACTGAAAGCACAATGTGTGTTCTTTACTGTTCAAACTTATCATATGCAGGCACAAGATTCTTATCATTCGGTAATCCACAAATGTGTGCAGCAAAGAACACACATTTGTGGGGCTGCGCATTGAAACCGGAGAATGATTGTGTGCTGCTTGATAACCACTCACAATTAAATGAGACAAGAAGAAGCTCATATGCTTACCGAGAAAAACAAATCCCATTTATGCAAGGCTTTGAATACGCGCACTCAGAAGCTGCTGTCTACCAACCATTTGCAAATACCAACTTTGCACCGGGAAATTCTAGCAACAGCCATAGAATGTTTGCCAATGGATTATATGGCGACATAGAATCTAATCGTGCTCTCTCTCTTCTGTCATGGACACGAGCAACACAAGAGGAGATTGGGCTGAGCAACACAGCACAGTCCAGTTCAGTCTGCCCGGCTCAGTCCATGATCCCAAGAATCCACTACAATAATCTGGGAGTGCAGGATGAGGCTGCAATTTCTAATTTGGTTAGTGATGGCAACAGCATTGGCAATCTCCACTGCCAAGGCAAGTTTCAGAATTCAGATTATTCCTGATGCCTCAACTGCTGGTGCATTCTACCCTTCTGGTGGGAAAAGTTTTATATGCAAAATTATCCCTCCTACTTGTTTGTCTTTTCAATTAAAAAGAACTTAACAGTCCCCAGAAGGGTGGAAATAATGATGCTGCTAGATGGAAGTGTTTTTTCCCATTTCTGAGAAGAATTATATTTTGCATAAGTGGAGTTTTCATTATGTAACCATTATGAGTTGCCACTCTGATTAATGTTTATGAAGTTGTTTGCTTTCATGACAAGACGATATGCGCAACCACTCTAATATACAGGTGGATTCAAACTTTGGTGTAAGAGGGCAAAAACACTAGCCTAATGTTGCATTAGTTATGAAAAAAAAATTTCTATTACAAGCGATGTCATTATTCTAATTTACACTAAGAGGAGGGATGAATGTTTGAACACGAGGCGTAGTGGGTTAAACAGAAAGACATTATCCACGAGGACAATTCACGACCTACGGTGGTTATGAAATAATTGGTTAGCGAGCATGCAAATATCTGCAGGTTTGTGAAACTTCACATGTTAGGAGGTAGTTTGGAAAATGGAGTTGTATGGGCTCGAGGCAGCAACTGTTAGTTAAGTTAGTTTTGCTCACAGCCCAGTCAGTTAGTCCCAACACACCTTTGTTGAAAGTTTGGGTCGATCAGAGTGTCAACAACATGACACGAGGAGAGAAACACAAGATAAATTGTTCGCAAACTTTACACTCGAGAACGATTGAGAGATGAGAAATTTTTTCACGGTTATAGATATAAATGATTATGCAACCGAGTTTGAATTTTTTTTCTTGTAATTTAGATTAGTTAGAGTAAATATCCATCACTAGTACTGCAATCTAGTAGTATTCATCTTCACCTGTAAGAGGTCTTAAGTTAAACGTTAAAACACGTAAATGGTGAGACCGATACTAATTTGAGTCGTTGTCTTATCGTTCATCAGTACACAATACATTAAACCCGGGCATGATCATATGTGTTACTGAAGTTCACTCATGTTAAAGTACATGTTTTGTTTATTAATGTTCTACCAAAATTTATAAACTCATTGTCCAACCATATTATATCACGTGGTGAATCAAACCGAGATAATTTTTAACTCCAACAAAATTCATTTGTTACTTCATCAACATAATTCATTAACTCCATGTTTTCATCTTCTTAATTAGTCCCCTTATCAAAACCAGTTGTTAATTATGTTAAGATTATGCATGATTAGCATGGACATAAGACCGCACCTTTCAATTAGAGAACTAAAACCAACTTAACTAAAACAACTTACGAAGAACAAGAGTCAAACTTCACAGACAATGGAAAACGTGTTTTTTCTTTATTTCCAGTTTAAGTTTAAAAATATGTTTAACACATTGAATAATACTAGTATTAAGAAGAGAACCACGTTTTTATTTGCCAGAAATAATTGATATATTTAAAGGGGAATAGTTGCGTCGGTGTTGGGTTTCTGCTGCTGTCCAATTGTGGTTGAAAGATGACCTAAAGTGGACAAAAAAGTAAACCAAATTAAGTTACTTTCGTTTTCATAAGTGAAGACCTCCAATTCTTTAAACCCTAAACTGCAATCCCTCCCTCTGCAAAAGCCCCATCAGCGCACATGCTTCACCGCAACATTGCTTTCAGCACAATTATTATCCTCTTGGTGGTGCATGGCATGGCGCACACAAACCCTCATTCAACACACACATGATCCGATGAGATATGATTAAGTTTTGGGTTTAACTGTAAGTGGGTTTGTTCATATGTTAAATTGTAGCTTTGGTTGGCCTGCAACAATTAATTAATTAAAGAGAATAGGAGTTTTGGTCTGTGTAATTTGGCTCAATAGGGGCAGTCTCTAATCTAGAAGTCCGTGAGTATTAGTCCTTAACTTGTCATAATGTGGAGCAACGGTCTTTGGATAAGATTGTTAAAACTTTCATACAAAATAAAAGGTTTAAAAAGGTAAATAAGGGATGAAAGTTATATAGACTTTTTTAAAAGAACCAGCGCTACACATTGTGGCAAGTTCATGGACTAATACTCATTTTGTTCGAGGACCAACGCTCCAAGTTAGCTAAAGTTTAGACACCAATGCTCCAATTTTTTCTTGATTAATTAAGTGATGCTTCATTTAGTAGCCAAAGTTTTGTCTTGATTATAAACCATCGATTTTTTGGGGGGCAAAAGGGAAAGTCTTCTTGGAAATCAAGGCGTTTTAGGTTGAAAATCCCTAATTTTCCAAGATTGGTTGATCACACAAGAGAGGCCTCGAAGCAAAAGTAAGAGTTTTGGGCACTAATCAGAGAAAAGTAAATAGGATTTTCTACAGTACATGCAATGAAAGTTTCATTCCATCCTCCTATGTCTGCTTCTTGTGTTGTGTTTTTTATAGATAAGATTTAGGGTTGCAAGCCATGTGCATACGCGTTTTTGAGGTGTTAATTAGTGTCGCCATATTAAGTACTTTAGAGTTGATTATGCCTTGTAAGATCAAGTTACTAAGTAATCAAGCAGATTGATTCCTTTTAATCAAGATTAGGTTAATTTCGCTCCTAATTAGGGGTTGGTTTTAGACGTTATTGTTGACTAGCGACGTGATGTTTTCCTACTAAAATTCGTACATCGTGTACTTTGATTAACCGCTTGGACTCGGACTCGTTCGGGTAGCTTCATAAATCAAAATACACCCTATCTCTCTCACTTGGAATTGACTTAATTAGGAGCCAAATTGACAAGTTAATCGCATTCACTTTTAAAACAAGTTGCTAATCATGTTCAACTAACTAAATATGGTATAGAGCTTGTGTATGAAAGAAGTTTGGTGCCAGCAATATTCTTGTTAGCTAGGCTAATTTTGATTGGAATAACGTGTCATGACCGCAATATGGGAAAATATTATCCCTCGTTAGATGCTATTCCTAGTTTCTAAGATTCCCATTAAATTTCCCCCAAAGTAAAAAAGAATGGAACACCAATAATGATTAGCATCGAAACTATGGCAGGGGCAAATGTTCAACTCCATTCAATTATATTCATCGCATGGAGTTATGCTTTTGTCAGTCGCCTAGTCACAAGTGAGTAATTTTTAGTTGTTGATGCATATGTAACATGCATTACATTAATAGCCAAAGATTGTTCATATTAACACGAGGTGATTCCCAATATTACTTATGATTGAAAATCATTACATTTACGCGTAAACAACTTCTCTAAATGTTTTTCTTTGTGGTATACTTTTCTTTTAACACATGATCAAAATCACATACATATTGAAGCCAAGAATATTGTTCTTCTATCTTGCTTTTTGTTGAGAGTATCAATATTATATTTGGGAAAGAATGAATTTTGCATGTGTTTATAAGTTAGTTCAACTGCTCTCCATATTTCCAATCACTTTTAACGAAGCCAGCAAAGACTAAAAGATAAAAGACTTTGAATTAATGGTGAACTAGCTAGTAGTAAAAAGAATGGAACGATTAGCACCCAAATTACTTGTGGCATGGGCTAATGCTCAGCCTATCCAATCACATTCAACATGAGTTGTGTTTTTATTAGTCTTTCAGCCATGATCCATAAGTTCAAGTTGCGCACATCAGCAATAAATGATTCTCAATCGTTGATTCATGTCAAAAACACATTACATTAACGATAAAAAAACCACTCACTCAAGCACATAAACGATTGTGTTAAATGTTTTTCTTCATCGCATACTTTTCTTTTAACACATCATCAAAATCCGAAACAGATTGAAAGCAAAAGAATATGGTTCTTTGATCATGCTTTCAACAAAGCCAAAGGACTCAAAGATAAAGACTTTGAATTAATGGTGCACTCTGGCTGTGACAAAAGAACAGCGACGTATCTCACATTATTTTTCAAGGGGGAGTAAAGACCCGCCAGCAAAGAAACTGGATCAGCGCTCTAGAGAAGAAGACCCACTTGGACATGACTTCCTTAAAGTCATGTGCCTAAATTGGAAAGGGGTCCACGAATCAATATGGTTGACGTTGATGGTGTTCGCCCTAAAATGGTAATAAATCTGTCAACCCTAGGTACTCCACGGGCCCACTTATTTCAACTGTAGCCATTGGATTTCCTTCATCTAATAAATTATGCCTGCCCGCTCGCTGGTCCCCACCCGTCCACCCCATTCAGTGTATGTAATGTGTGTGAAATTATTATACCATCTATAATTTGAAAGTGACAAGATTTACAATATTTGCATGTATAAGCCGGCTGTGTGACATCAAATTCCTTTCTCGACTAGTTCTAGGGTTCAGACTTGGTTTCTAATCTGGGCATTTTAAATCTGACAATTCTTTATTCCGTTACGTTAGAGTCACCCATAGATAAAAAAATCAATGAGAAAAACAGGAAGTTCGATCAGAACATAACACGATTAATTAATTAAGTCAACGTAATTCGCGACTTCAAAAAGTGATTAATATTTAGCACGAATAGGAAGTGGCTCAATATGAACACGGCCGTACTTCTAATATGTATAGTGCACTCTCCTAAAGTGAAGACTTTTTGTTTGGTGAAAAAAGGGTGAGAGCTAGCAGTGAAATGTACGCTGAAACCCTAGCTAGTATATACAATTTACAAAACATAAAAACTAAGAGTATAATTCCCTATTTTTCACCAAAGAAGCAAAGAGTATGAGCAGTGAAAACCGGAAGCATATACTTTTCCCATAGTTTTTAAACCCTTTTTCATGATTTCATCAACCCAATAAGTCCATAGATACCAATTACAAATGTACCGCATCGCAAACCAGATTGGTTAAAAAAGGTGAGTTAAAAAATGGAAATTTGTTCCAAAGATTGACAACACAAAGATCCCCCCGTGGGCTGATGAACAAGTGCTAGCTGCAGCAGCTACAAGCAATTTGATTATATATATATATATATATATATATATATATTAAGGTCTAGTACATGCAAGTTTGAGAAGAAAAAGCAATCTGTTATTTGACCTAAAAATGTGAAATAAAAAAGGAAGAAAAACAGAAAAGCTATATAGCCAGGCATCTGTGTTGAGTGGTCCACTGAGAGAGTGATGATGGGAGAGGAGAGTTGTGAATACGAAGGCACGATGGTGGTGGTCGGTGGTCACAATCAAATAGTTGTGATATTTTAAGTGCTTCTGTCACTCTGTGCGTCTCTGTGTGTGTGCTTCGATTTTTAGCGTGGGATGCGTTGCCATGTTTCTCTCTCTCTCAAAAAAAATTTATATGTGAATAGTGTAGAAGGCTTGTCGATGGTAATTTTAAGAATGCTGTAAAAAG